AGGGTTCAGTTCGAAATTCCAATCACCTGAAAAAGGCCGGAGCGTACAATGGTCGAAACGCCGTAAATATGACAATGAAGATGAGGACAACAGCCTGAACAATTTAAATAATGTAAATAAACCTTTTCTTCTTCTATTTTTATTTATCCTATAAAATACAGAAAGAACACTCAAGACAATATACAAAAAGAAAATGGCGAACTGAATAATATATTTACAGTAATTTAAATGGGGTGTTTGAAAACCCCACAATCCTAATGCTTTGACTATGTCCAACAGTACTAACAGAGTTAAAGAATAAGCAATAAAAAAGCTAAGAAGATAATATTATTGTTGTCCTGTACTAGAAGAAACTAATCTTCGTGTAACCCATTCTGTTATAAAGCGTAGATTAACAAGCGCTGTTGCTCGAGTTAGTTAAGTTTAATAATAAAGACGTTAACAGTAAAGTCTTAGTTAATTAGTTTATATGATCAGGATAATGGAATTCGATATTTATTTTCACCCAACTGGTGGTAGGTAAGCATTTCTTTTTTCTAATAATTCTTTCCCTTCTTTCTGTCTAAATATTTACTAAACTTAGTTTAGCATAAAACCAAATTGTCAAAAATCGAGATAGGAAGATTATCTTACGCCAATATTCCAACCACAGATGAGTTTGTCTTTCTTTTTTTTTTTTACCTGTGTTCACCAAAGATGAGAATTCTAGATTAAATAAATCATGGAAATGAAATATTTAATTAAAAAAGCAAGTGTGAATTTCGTTTGGGTTAGCTATCTATTAAGTGCAAAATACCTGTCACAAGTAAAAGCAGTTTTTATACTATTTTGAGCAAATACAAGTCACAGGAGCCACTCAAGGTAGATGGTTACTGAATGAGGTTGTTTTATGGAGGTAAGAAGGGCGGATCATGAGGATATGTAGGATAGATCACAGTTGACTCTAATCTTGAAGTAGTTAAGATTGTTGTGGTCGGGGCGGAGGGGGTCACCTTCATCTTGGGAAGAAGCTGTCCAAATGGTATACGAAGGGAATAAGGATGATTCGACTCTGTGTATATGGCTTGGCGGGCCTGAACTGGTGGAACTAAGCAACAGGGCTAGTCAGAACATTTTCCACAAAAATAGCGATAAAGTAGCGATAAGCTTGAGACGTTTCGTCTGTGGATGAGGGATTGCATGGTGGAAAAATTATTCATTGCCTATAAGGACGTGTAAAGGCTTTTGAACTCTGCTGATGGCGGAAAGATAGGATTAGGCTGCCCGGGGCAAGATATGGCAGCATTACTCCATCTTTGATCTGATCTGACTATTGTAAAGATAGATCATGACAGGAGTTCGGTACTTTCTGGAATGGTATAAGCTGCCGACTATATGTACAGTATCTTTAGCAATGGATCGTACGTATGAGTTCAAATCAGGGTAGGAGGTGAATTTCCAAAAGACGTTTTAAGCAATGAATCCGAGTGTAACGATTCTTTGACACTGGAAAAAATTCAGGGTCTGCGTGGTGATTATAAAAGATTACTAGCTTGGTTTAGGGGGTACTGAAATTCACATGTCAGTTTTTTCCCCCAATTTGGCTGTTAAATCAAGGTCAGAAGAGAGGCTTTGGTCACCTAAATCTTTGAAGGTACACACATAAACTGGTACATTGGCCGTCGCACAATGCTGTGATCTTGCGATAATCGACATCACCAGAGTAACGACTACTAGCACAAGTTAGAAATACTCAACTATTTCAGATAAGAGTCAGAAGCTTTAACTTTGTCTTTCTTTCTATGAACAAGTGTTTCGCTTTTAAACCAATTAAAACAACAACAACAACAACAATAAGAAAAGAAAGATACGCGCATGTACTTATGCAAATAAACATTTACGTATATATCTGCTTGCAGACATGGAGGGGAATAATTGCGAATATGTACAGATGTCTTAGCCAGTGCTTACGTATGCTTCAAATCAAGAAATGTGCATGTTAAGAATCTAGAAAGACAAGAGATTCCATCCTTTCTTTAAAGGAATCTTCGCAGATTGAAAGCGAACGGCAATCAAGTGCAGACTCTCAGTGATAAAACAGTTTCTAAAATATAAGTCCAGAATGTTTGCTGACAACCACATAAGCGCTTTACTGGACACAAAACACCCAATATGACTGCAAACCACATAAAAAACATATTGTGGCAAACATAGATAAACGTGCCCGTAAGAAGACTTAATGTCAAAAGGACGGTTTTTCCCATGACACCGATTTTTTAACTACCTTTATTCTTTGGTAATGCTTATTGTTTTAAAAAGCGATAATTTAGAATTGGAACAAAACCTAAACATATGAAAGTAAATTTTCTTTGTTCCTGAGAATTGACAACAAAAATAATAAACATTATTTATTTATTAGATTGTTTATTTACAATATTTTTTATAATATTTATTGGAATGGTTGGCAAAATATCGGTTAAATACCAATTGATTCAAACTTTACAAAATGGTAAATAATAAGGATTTTCTTATCGTTGGTTCACATATTTTAAGAAATATTTATAAATTTATAAAAAAAACTATTTATTTCTTTATAAATTGTTAAATGATAAAATATTGCATTGTTTTAGAATGTTGTAAATATAAAATTATTCTTGTGAATAAACAATAAATAAATAGTGTATAATATTTTTGTTGTAAATTCTCAAGGACAAAAAATGTATGAACTTAATTTCATCATATGTTTAGTTTTTATTCCAATTCTAATTGTCGCTTTTTAAAACAATAAACATTGCCGAAGAGTGAAGATAATTAAAAAAAAAGCGGTGTCATGGGAAAAACAGTCCTTTTGACATTACGTCTTATTTCGGGCACATATGCCCATATTTTCTGTATGAAGATTTTTTTAATACTAAAAAATATTTTCCCTTAAATATATTTAACCTCCTTTGATGCGATGATACTTACTTACATTATCTTATGTTTTATATCGTTACATTCTTAGATTGGCGCCATTTAAGACATGTATACTCAGCTTGAATATCTCTCTCTAGGTAAGTAAAAGAAAGAGAGAAAGAGAGAGAGAGAGAGAGAGAGAGAGAAAGAGAGAGTAATCGTTTTCTTTTCTACTTTTATATGCCATGTCCCTTGAGGACGTGGGTGATCATGGCTCTCCACAACTTCCTGTCATTCGTAGATATTATAAATGTTTGTCTTTTACCATCGCCCCATCTATGTTCTGTCATCTATTTACACAATCTCGTTAGGTATATATATATATATATATATATATATATATATATATATATATATATATATATATATATATATATATATATATATATATATATATATATATACACACACACACATATATATATATATATATATATATATATATATATATGCAATTTCCACTTCAGTATGTCCTGTTAGTATCCAATTTTCCAAAATTTTTCTCATTATGTGTCTTAGAAATTTCAACTATCTAGTTTTCATTTTAGCTGTCCTTTTCTTTTCGATTTTTCTTAAAACTTAATCGTTGCTTAAATGTTCCGTCCATGGTAAAATCAGCATCCTTCTTTAGAACCACATTTCTGTTGACACAAGTCACCCTGTCATCTATGGATGTGCGGGCGGTGTAATGGATAGTGTTTCGGAATGAGAAATCGGAGAGCCGAGGTCGAATCGCAGTTGAGTTCATTGCATGAATGTATGCGCAAATGCCCTTGGGAAAAGTCTGTATCCATCTCTCCCCACCCAGCTATGAGTTAAATTGTAGGAATTATATCTGGAAAAAACATTGTTTTTTCAAAAAAATTGTTAATACAACGTTCCCTAGCAAAAGGAAAAAGAATTATTCTTACAATTCAAAATATGTTTCTGCTTGAAATAAACCACAAAGAGCTGATAAACTGTAAAAAACAAATCAATACACGTCAATTTTTGCGGTAAAGTTCACCCTGTACAAAACCCGGGGGTCACTAGAGGTAGAGGGTTGTGTTAAGAAGTAGTTTATATGGATAGGAGGGGAAGATAATGGGTGACTCTAGATTTGAACAGGTTAAGGTTGTAGTGATTGGGGGAAACATCCTCCAGGGTTCGTGGGAAGAAGCTGTGAGCAGATTGTCTAGAATTCATTTCCATATAAGAGGACTGATATTACATAGCGTTTCAGCACTTTTTTCTTTGCTTCTAATAAAATTTTCCTGTTTCTTAATACTTTGTTTAGCTTTTGGAAGGCATTTTTCGGCTATTCCAATGCACCTTTGGATTTCGGCGTCACATTTTCCATCATCTGTTAAATACCCCACATATTTAACTTCTGTAGTTGCTTGATTTCGACATTCTTTCCCATAATTGATGGTTAACCCTTCCTCCCCCTTCCAGCCACGCGCTTGTTTTGGATTTCAGTTTTCTTTCGGTGTCTGCTATCAAAACCGTATCATCTGCATATACTAAACTGGTGTTGAGATTTCGTCAATTTACAGTTGAGCAGGGTAACCGTAGATTCTATGCTAACAGTTTCTTTTCTCGCACTTCTCGTTTGTGGAATTCCCTTCAAGCTCCACGCTTTTCAGCCAACTTTAATCTGCAAAAATGTCAATCACTATCTCCAGTCCTCATGATTACTCTTTCCTCTTCTTGCTCATTATTAATGTTTCTGTTCCTAATTTTTCCACACCCTATAATTCTTTGTGTCTTAGTGGCTTTATTGCCTTGCATAGGATGACACCAATTTTTTAAAAAAATGTATATATTATGTTGAAATGAGAGAAAAGTTTTTGTAATGGGAACGTGTTTCTCCTTCGTGTGCTAGTTTGACGTTTTGTTTGAAAGAGCAATATACAACAATATTAATTGGGAGAAAATATTTACAATGGCGTCATTTGGACGGTATGAAAAAAACTCGTTATAAATTCACAGAATTTTTTTTTAGTGTTATTAAAGAAGCTGTAGCATTTTTCTTATTGCTGTTTAGAAAAATTTAAGTGTCCTCTTTTAGATTCTATCTTTTGTAGGCAGTTTGTCTGCAGCATTCTTTCTTTTTTATTTAAATTCACTTTTCAAACACCAGACCTGAAGAAAATAAACCTTTAGAAATTGAGATAAAAATAATTGCTTGTTTTTGGTTTAGCGACATATGGGTTATTTAATGTCAATATCTAAATATTTTCTACGCAGTTCTATTTTTCTTTTGAGATAATAATGGTTTTAGCGATACAATTTTTACTAATTAACGCATAGCTGGGAAAAGAAGAGATGGATTCATACCTTTCCCAAGGGTATTTGTGCATAAGTGAATATAACGAACCCGACCAGAATTGGAACTCGGCTATGCGATCAACAATTTTGAACCATTATCCATTACACCACCCTCACATCGAAGCTTAGAGTACCTGGTATCCCCAAGTGGTCACCCATCTAGGTACTGGCTATGCTCGATGTTGCGGTGATCGTACGGGAAACGATGTTGCAACGTGATATGGCCGTAAGCCTGACAAACATAGACACTTAGGAGATTAACGGTCACTGTTTTCGCTGATTAGGATTTTATGTTCGACTTAACAGTCGCACACCAGAAAACATATACGAGGGTGTATCAATAAGTCACTTGTCTGACACACCTGGATTTGATCTGAAATTTTACGAAAGAGATTATGTTGAAAAATAATAATTTGTTTTCTAAAATAAATGACTTTCGCATTATTAATTTGCGATTAATTTGCATTAATTTACTATACATATACATAGATACATACATATACATAGATACATACATACATACATACATATATATATATATATATATATATATATATATATATATATATATATATATATATATATATATATATATATATATATATATATATATATATATATATATATATATATATTGATTGCTGGTGTTAATGAAGCAGTGCTCCATGTAATATGAAGTATATATTAATAAATATACATATTATTTTTCTCACAGGCAGCAAGACTCAGGTTACATGCACAACGCGTTGTACATGAAATTCCGTGTTCTACTACTGGTGAAGGATAATATATATATATATATATATATATATATATATATATATATATATATATATATATATATATATATATAAAAATTGCAAAACAAAAAATCAAAAATTACCTCATATGGCAGGGAGATAGATCTATTTCAACCGATGAAAACTACGTCAGTCTTATTCAACCTGCTGTATAGACTGAGTTCGTGTCGGAATCAGTCTATACACCGGGGTTGAATAAGACTGACATAATTTTCATCGGTTGAAATAGATCTATCCCCCTTCCCATATTAGGTAATTTTGGATTTTGTTGTGCAATACGAATTATTGGCCCTGTTATAATAAACACATTGAGCTTTTTTGTGGATCAGATTTAATATTTTATATTACTTGGATCCACTTGGATTATATACCAATGGATTTATTATCCGTATATACACACACACACACACACACAAACACACACACACACACACACATATATATATATATATATATATATATATATATATATATATATATATATATATATATATATATATATATATATATATATATATATGTATATATAGCTGATAACAAAAGTTGAGTCACTCAACAAATAACTGAGCTGCTTTTCTTTTTGTTTTATTTTTAGATGTGTAGATATAGACAAATACAAAGTGGTGCTGTAGGTAAAGGTTCGATCTTTGTGATTGATTACCTGATTAATACAAAGGCTCCTCAGAAAAGGCTCTGAAATATTACAAAAAACTTATATTCAAATGCTCTAGTCTAAATCTCCAGATTAAAGCTAAGCTGTGATTAAGGTCTTGTAATTTATTTTATATTTATATTTAATCTTATCTTAGGGCCGCCAAATGTTTACTAGTTTGGTAGTGACAAGGTGGAATATTGTTTAAGTGTATTTCTTTTTTAAAAACTATAAATTTGTTTCTTAAAATGAAAGAAAAAAAAATCTATTGCATCATATCAATACAATAAAAATATGAAACTAACGCAATTGTCTTTCTCTTCACGAATTTTTAAAGAAAAGCAAAAGTAATAATAAAATTAAGGTTTATTTTCGTCTGTCGACTGGCTTTGTCCCAGACAAGCAATTTGTAAAGAAGTTATCTAAAAAGATCTTATCTCTTCATTACAAAAGTGTTTTGGTAAGATGTTTTGATAGGAAATTTAAAACGTAGACACCTGTGTGCAGAGCAACGTACATAAATAAATGCATACATACGTACATACGTTTATTTTTAAATATACAAGCACATAATTTATACAGTCTCTAAACACCCACCATTTGTTTCTTTTATATATATATATATATATATATATATATATATATATATATAAGAATCAAGATATGTGTTCTTCATGCACGTATAGTTATACTTATTTGTCCAATTCATATATATATATATATATATATATATATATATATATATATATATATATATTATTATTTATTTATTGAGGGCGTATTTTGAGAGTTTGAAATTTAAATCGAAGCAAAGCCAACATTTGATAGACATGAGACTAATAAAAGCAATCATTGCACGTTTACTTGGGATATCAAAATACGCTGCAATTGATTCAGACAACACGTTCTGGTGTCAACAGAATGTAGAATACGACGATCCTATTTCTTCTTCCCGCTTTTCATTTCTTGACGTTTCTAAACGCTCTCATCTGTGCTCCTCTTTTTTTTTTATTTCCTTCGCTCATATTCTATTTATTTATTTATTTTTGTATTCAAATACAAATATTTGATCAAAATATGCCAGACAAATAAAAATAAAATTAAATAAAGGTGGGAAGAAAAAAACAAATCATATAAAAAAAGTTAAGTATGTAACACATTTCTCGTATGTCCTTTACTGTCAACAGACGATATGAATGCTAGATATGGCTGCAAATGTTAGCTATGTAAGGTTAAAAGTCTGTCTGTGATAAAAAAAAAAACAATGCCTAAAGAAAATAATAGAAAATAAACTAAAAAAGAAAAGTTATTTTAAAAAAATTGCTTGCTATGTCCTATGGTCGTTATCATTGATATTTTTCCTTATAGCAAATATCATATTTTTAAAATAATACTTGAAAAAATTTTTTTTTCCAAAGTTAAGACTGAATGAGAAGGTACACCCAAATTCGGGTGATTTGACCATGAGAAAATAACTCTTAATTTTTTTAATCATTTCACCTCAAGCAAGGCGATAATATTGGGATGCAAGGGGTTACTGGGATTGAAAGAGAACGTAAAGATTTCAAGGACAATAAAAGAACATGTTTCAGAAAGACAGAAGATGGCGATTGGCATTGGATTTAAAAGGGACTTCCACGGGCGAGAAGTGCGAGAAAAGAAACTATTAGAATAGAAAAGACGATTGCATCTCGCTAGTTCAAAAATAAAACGATAAAACCTACTAGCTTAAATTCATGCAATCGAAACACCAAAGAAGAGAGCTCATCATCAAAACAGTTGCCATGAAAATATTTGTGGAAAAGATAGGTCACGTCACGTCGGTGAGAAAGTGACTGAAGTCGATATGCCGGGTCAGGATTAATTACATGAGAAGTTATTTTTTAAATTTTGTCAAAAATTTCGACATATATAGTTGGCGCATCAGAGGTGGATATGGCAGCAATGTTCAATGCATGGACGAATCGTACATTTGTAAATGTGCAAGATGGATTCTGACGAGAAAAATTGTCTGGCATGACACAGTGAACCAACTTTCCTAGCAGTAGACTTAGCAATTGATTCAATATAATCACTCCACTTCATGTCAGTGGAAAACCCGAGCCTAAGAAGTCCCAAAGAGTTGCTCTCCTGGAGGTTAGCATCAGCCATTCTGATGATAGACAGAAAAGGTTCCCTGTGTTGATTAAATAAAAGCAGTTTTGTTTTGGAGGCGTTAAAATTTACAAGCCATTCCTTGTCCCAGTTAACCACAGACTGGGCGGTCATATTCGAGAGCAGTTGCCAATTTTCCTTTGTCGGACTTGTCGAACTTGATACTAAGACAGGAGTAAATAATTGTATCATCAACATAAATACCTATTTGGAAACCGATGACATAGGACCTGTTATTGATGAAGATAAGAAACAACGTAGGTGCATGGATAGAGCCCTAGGGGACCGATCATGAGTCCCATTAGGACCGTAAGGGCACCACATATACTGAGAGCTGCAGTAGTAGTGGTGTTTCCAGGGCAAGATCGCCTGAGAGAGCCCAACCCTTTCCAGGCTGGTTTGAATTATCTTTCTCCTAGACTAGTCGCCAATCAAGGATATAAGATCAAGTCTGTCCTGCTATTTCCCCATAGCTGAAAGATGAAGAGATGGATTCATACCTTTTCCAAAGGTATAGCACGTATGTGAATGTAATGAACTCGATTGAAATTCGACCTCTTCTCTCTGATTTCTCAATCCGAGCCACTATCCATTAAATCAAACCTCCGCATTACTCCAACCAAATTTCCGAATTACTTATCTTAATAATTTTTACTGTTTTTGAAGTAAATCTTCTTGGTCACGTCTTGTATATCCATCTATTAAAGAGTACTGTTCACAACGCCCGTAGTAGATTTACTCTCGGCGCAGTATTTAAACGGTATGAATTTTCTGGTAGCGTCGCGGGTACAAAGTACAGGGTGGTCCAAAAGTCTTGTCACTCTAACCCTCTCTTCCAATGTGTAGCAGCTCGTGTCAGCCATCTGAAAAAGAAAATTATATGATGTATGTGGTGACAAGACTTTCGGACCACTTTGTAAAATAAAACGGACTATTTTATATCAATTGTTTCCTACGTGAAAATGCGCCTTTCTACAATTACCATATTGCTTTAAAGCAACATCGAAGAAGAAATATATTCTTTCCATATTTTATTTTATTTTTAAAATCTCTTGACATTCATAGGAAACAAAAGTCATTTCTGGAGCCCCTATATTTTAAACAGAATCACTTTACCTTTTAATTGTTTTTTTTTTTCAAACTCGATTATTTTACGTATATATAATTTATCTCCACTCGAACGAATATCCTTATCTTATTATTATGACAACG